TCACCTAATGTTGTCTGTCACCTAATATCGTCTGTCACCTAATATCGTCTGTCACCTAATGTTGTCTGTCACCTAATATCGTCTGCCACCTAATATTGTCTGTCACCTAATGTTGTCTGTCACCTAATATCGTCTGCCACCTAATATTGTCTGTCATTAAAACGTTGTAGATTTATTAGTCATGTGTTCGTGAACCTTAAATTCAATGTTATGTTTTTTCTCACAATCAGCATAAAATAAAACTTATTTTTTGAAGTCATTTGTATGAATATTGGGGGGGGGGGGAATCCAAACCCTCAACCCCATAGGCTACTCGGTGTCTGCGTAAGTGTTGTCTGATTGACGGGTACCGAGAACAGCTTAACACTACAAAATGCGGGTTATGATCAAAATAAAAACGAACAAGATGTTTTTTGTATGTGTTCTTTAGACTGAACTCTTTCAAAACTCGTTTTTTCCTTAACCCCTAATACAAATGAATCTAGCGGTAATTAGTGTGAAGGTAAACTTTCTCTAAGTACTCATTATGTTTTTCCTGTTTTCAGGATATGGGATTTATATTAACAGCAGTACCGGTAGGGGTCTACTTACGGACATTGAGCTCTATGGCAACGGCGGGGATGGAGTTCGTTATGTTTTCCATGACAACCAAGTCACCAGCCAAAAAGAGTTTTGTAAATATGGTGACCTAGGAATGAATGAAGTGTATCCTCTATTTCTCACCCATAAGCAGGAACGTGACATGGTGCACAACCTCAAATGTCGAAGAGTAGGTGTCAACAGATCTATTTATCTTTGATTCATCAAACCACAATAAGGACATCACGTACAATAAATACATAAACGTATTGATGAGTTTTTAAGTAGTTCTAAAACTTGTTCCCGTTGATGAGGAATTATAACGATAAAAATCGAGTTTCGATACCGGCGGTGGGCAGAGTCCAGATAGCTTATTATACAGCGTTATATACAGAAACAAACAAATACAATTTCCTCTGTCAATAGTTTATTGACGTCTCCCGGTGAGTCATCGGTCAGTTTACGCAAAAATCCGGGGTTAGATTCTACACGCTGGCTAGAGCGCAGATAGCCCATGGTGTAGCTTTGCGCTAAAGACAAAGAGACAAATAAGTTGAAAAGCAGAAACACTTAATAATGATCATTCACTAGGGATATCCTTGATGAAAAGAAATACTTATTAAGGATCATTCACTAGGGATATCCTTGTTGAAAAGAAACACTTATAAAGGATCATTCACTAGGGATATCCTAGGAGGCGTATATCCTAAGGATATACGAGGAGGCGTTCCGAATAGAACTGGTACTGAGTTCCGGCCTAATGTACTCCTGCTTACTTTATATCCTCTACTGTTGGGTAAACAAGTAATTTGTGCTGCTTACAGCTACAACTGTCGTGAAAATAAACATTTGAAATGTTATTTTCTGGTGTGAGAATACTGATCATTTTCACTTACAGTCACTACTGTTCTGTAAATTAGCTATGCCTGGTAAGTCTACGCTTACTTCGATTCCTTGTGGTGGACACAGCAGGTAGCCCAATGTGACATTGCTCTACAGAAACAAACAAACCGTGTTTATAGCCACTTCTGTCGTGTAAATAGGAAGAAAACTATTGTTTATAGCCACTTCTGTCGGGTAAATAGGAAAAACTATTGTTTATAGCCATTTCTGTTGTGTAAATAAGAAAATGATTTCGTTGATAGCCACAATAAGCTAAAGCGTTTTCTTATTTACACGACAGTAAGACAGTAGTGGCTATCAATGAAATCATTTTCTAATTTATACAACAGTAGTGGCAATAAACTAAAGCGTTTTCTTATTTACACGACAGTAATAGCTATAAATGAAAATCATTTTCTTATTTACACAACAGTAGTGGCAATAAACTAAAGCGTTTTCTTATTTACACGACAGTAGTGGCTATCAATGAAATCATTTTCTTATTTATACAACAGTAGTGGCAATAAGCTAAAGCGTTTTCTTATTTACACGACAGTAGTAGCTATAAATGAAATCATTTTCTTATTTACACGACAGTAGTGGCTATCAATGAAATCATTTTTTTATTTATTCAACAATAGTGGCAGTAAACTAAAGCGTTTTCTTATTTACACTAGCCAATAGTGTTTTGTGAGTTCAAACTACACAATTTTCTATTACTATTTTATTGGTTAGTGAATTATCGATCTGTTAATATAATGTTCCCAAAGTTTAACAGGTACCACTATTTAACTTGTTAGTTTACTAGTAAAGAGCTATACTTTATAAGCTGTGTTTTTCCTGTTACAGGTGTTTAAAGTGGCCCATTACCAAGGCCAGCAAGTTACTGTTCATTTCTCCAGCATGGAGACGGACGAGCTGGATGAGAATAAAGCTGCTACCATCTCTGTGTACGACAGTCAGGTGGAAGACTCCAAAAAGCTGCTGGCCAAGTTTAAGGTCTTGAATAACACTGGAACACAAAGTTTTACCAGCACCAAGGGCAGTATATTTGTTCACTACGAGCCTATAAATGAAAGAATGGTATTCTTTTCTGTAGAGGTCGTAGTTGACTTTGGTGAGTACACCTTGAATAAGTAAACCATCATCTCGTCTCTGCTTTCGTTATTCAATCACTAGCTGCCTTTTTTTTCATCTCCTCTTTGTTTTGTGTGTATAACATCTTGAATTTCAGAGCTACTAAGAAGTTATCACTAAACATTGGCCATTACTCTCCTTCCCAATAGAACAAGACCACTTTTAGTAGCAGTTTCATGATTCAATAGAACAATATACCACTTGTAGTAATGGCTTCAACCTCTCAAATAAAACAAGACCACTTATAGTACTGACATCAGCTCTCCAATAAAATAAGTCCACCTGTACTACAGATATCATGGTTCCATTGAATAAAACCACTCATAATACTAACGTTATGATCCAATATAACAATACCATAACATTAAAGGGCAACAAGGACCTTTTGGTCCATCTAGGCTTTCCTATTCACAAAATTAAACTAAACACCAAAAAAATTAAAATCAGTCGTATCATTCAAATGTTAATCAAACTCCCTTAACCTAACTGCACCTACCATTTCCGAAGGCAACCTATTTCAAAAGCCAACCACTCCATTAGAAAAAGCTGTCTTAGTATAAGATGACTCCTACTCTGCCAAAGTTTAAATTTGTGTCGTACCATTCTCACAAAAAATATGATTTATCAGTACCATCAATTCCCTTAACAATCTTAACCTTTTCAATCAGATCCTCTCTAACTCTTCTTTTTTCAACAGAAAACAACTTCAGGGATCTTAGCATATCCTTGTGTGACAACTTTTCCATTTCAGACAATCATTCTAGTAACCCTTTTTTAAAAACTTTTCCAACAATTTGTTGTCCATTCTAAGGTAAGGAGACCAAAGCTAAGCACAGTACTCTAAATGTGACCTAACCAATGACTTATAAAGTAACAATGTAACCTCTTTAGACTTGTCTTTAATATTACTGTAGATATAACCTAAAGTCTTATTCGTCCTGACACTAGCAACAGCACATTGCTTAGATGGCTTAAAAGACTGATCAACCAGAACACTAAGATATTTTTCTTCCATAACGTTGTTAAGATTATTCACATCAAAATTACACATATAATTCAAATTGTCATATTCCACATGCATTACCTTGCACTTATCGTCATTGAAAGCCATCTGCGATTTATTTGCCTAACTTACCAAATAATTTAAGTCCTATTGTAAAGCAGCAGCGTCTTCCGAACGGCAAGCAACACCCAAAACTTTAATGACATCAGCAAATTTAAATAATCTATTAACCATTCCTTCATCTATATATTGATGTAAATCAAAAAGAACAAAGTTCCTAACAATGAGCCCTGAGGTACCCCACTCATGACATTAATCCAGTTTGACTGAACCACATTTTTAACAATCCTCTGCTCTCTTCCATCTAGCCAGTTTTCCATCCAGTGAACCAATCTATCCCCTACGTCTACAGATAAAAACCTTTTTAACAAGCCTTTTATGTGGTACCTTGTCAAATTCTTTCTGAAAATCTAGATACATCATGTTCTCATCTACATAAGCAGTAATTTCTTCAAAAAATGTCAAAACATTAGTAGGGCAAGATTTTTCCCTATTGAAACCATGATGACAACCCAATAAAATTTTAAACTTCGTTGAATAACTTTGCAAATAACCTTTTATCAGACTTACTGAAACTTTTACCACTATTAATGGAAGACTAATAGGCTTATAATAACTGGGACAATCTGTATCCCCTCCTCGATAAGTGCCAATCTTTTGGCACCTGCCTACTATTCAAGGACTTAGAAAAATAGTAGCAAGTGGCTTATATATCCAATCCTTAACCTTCTTCAAAACTCTTGGGTAAATATTATCTTGACTAGTAGCTTTGCCATTCTTTAACTTTCCTATATTTTCTTTAAGAAACTCAGAATTAATGTGATCATCTTACGATTTTCTCAAATCCTCCAACTATTTCATCATTGCAGTCAGTTTAAACTCCTTATATTTATAATGTTTTTCTTTAATTGTATCCTTTGTGAGCCAACCTGTACGTGTAGCCACCTATCTTGAATATTTAATAATTTATCTCTAAAAAAATGTCCACATTTGATCAGAGTCTCCAACTAATTCAGTTGTCTAATTCACAACAGATAATGTTTGTCTCATCTCTTCAAAGTTGTTAAATATGGAACGAAATTTCGCTATTCCTTATCTCCATATGCAGCCAAACATCAGATCTAATTCAGCAACGATCATTGCACCCAGATGATCCTCAACCTCTAGCCTATTAATCATTTCTATATTTGAAATTAACAATAAATCTAAGATAGCATTGTTCATAGTAGGTTCCTAAATAGTTGTTGAAGAAAATCATTCTGAACAGTTTGTAAAAACCATCAAATATTTCCTAATCTATATGCCTGAAATTAAAATCTTCCATAATTATAACCTCATTAACAGGTGAATTATTTATATCACTGAAGAGTTTCTCCTTAATTTCACCAGTTTAATCTAGTGGTCTGTAACAAATTATAACTTCTCCCCTTATAATTACTAACAGAAATTCAAATGGATTCAACCTCGTTGTTATTAGCTTTGATATTATCAGCTCGAACAGGCTGTAACTTACATTTTATAATGCATATAAAGCCACTCCTCCCCTTTTTTAGTATTCTATCTTTAATAGATAACATATAACCCTGTATTTCAAAGAAATTCCTGTCAATACCACTTTTAGGACTGACGTCATGATTCAATAACACAAGACCACTTGTATTATTGACAACTTGATCCAATAAAAAAAAACATTTGTAGTTCTGTTATCATTAGCCAATAGAATAAGACCACTTGTATTATTGACAACTTGATCCAATAAAAAAACACTTGTAGTACTGACATCATGACCCAATGAAAGAAACCCTCTGATAGTGATGATGTCATGACATCCAATAAAACAAGACAACTCATGGTACTGACATCATGATCCAACTAGACTTTTGTAGTACTAGCAACAGCCAGCCAATAGAAGAAGACCATTTGTAGTACTGATACCGTGATCCAATAATATAAGACCACTCATAGTTTTGATATCATTATCCAACTAGACTTCTTGTAGTACTAGCAACAACCATCCAATAGAAGAAGACCATTTGTAGTAATTACATCATGAATCAATAGAACAAGACTATTCATAGTACTGGCAACAACCCTCCAACAGAACAAGAGCACTTCTAGTATACACAGCAATTCTCCAATAAAAAGTACACCCATAATACTGGCATCACTTTCTAATAAAACAAGATCACTTCTAGTACAGACAACTGCATTGGTGCTCACCGAAAACCCCCATATCAAATGCAACAGTACAATATTTGTGAATGTAGCATGAACTCTACTGCATACAAGCTTTTGAGTACTGAAAAGTCATCGAATACCTACTTCACCTATTGAAGTATATAATATGGAATAGTATTTATTGTGTGTCGTAATACAACTCTGTTCTTGGATGTGGTCTTGTTGTATTTTAGGAGAGAAAGGGAGTGTGCTTGACATGTGAAACAAAAACAGTATCTCGATCCTAAGCTTTACTTGGTTTGTTTGTTTTTGAATTTCGCACAAAGCTACACGAGGGCTATCTGCGCTAGCCGTCCCTAATTTAGTAGTGTAAGACTAGAGGGAAGGCAGCTGGTCATCACTACCCACCGCCAACTCTTGGGCTACTCTTTTACCAACGAATAGTGGGATCGACTGTCAGATTATAACGCCCCCACGGCTGAAAGAGCGAGCATATTTGGCGTGACGGTGATTCGAACCCGCAGACAGTGAGTCAAGCGCCCTAACCACCTGGCCATGCCGGGCCGCTTTACTTGGAAAGGGTACAATTATTCTTCAGACTGCTTTGTACCCTTTCCAGTAGTAGGTAAAGAATAATTGTAGACTGTATTGTACCTACTACTGCAAAGGGCACAATTATTCTTCAGACTGTAGTAGATACAAAACTTGGAAAGGGTACAATTATTCTTCA